TAACTCGTGGACCGATTAGAGACAAGTAGTTGCTCACTCGAAATCGATGGATTTTTCACTCATCCTCCCCGGAGCGCCCCACCGAGAAGCTTGCGAGAACGAGGACAACCGTTTTTTTTTTTTTTTTGTAAACCAGCGTACCGATTATATTCTAATTATATCTCCTTTGTTCGAGCCCTAGTTTTTCATCGAATTCACTGGGACCACTTTGAATTATAAGAGCGATCTATGCGGCGATTAAAAACGTATACAAAATGCCGAATGCAATGCACGACGAGAATGATGGATCGCGAGTTTTTAAGGGCCAGAAACGATCTATTTCTCTGATTGCTTTGCTCACGAACGATAATAAAAGGATATTAGTAGCAAAATATAAGGTATAAGTGTGATAAATAACGACGAGAATTCCGAGAAAAAGTCGCGTAATCTTCGCGCGTAGTGGAAGGCGCGCTAACTGCTGCGTTGCGGCAGGCCTACTGACAGGGGCAACCGAGCTTTCGGTTCGGCTCGGTACGATTCGTGCGATTTCGCCACCCTTCGGCGCCAGCTTAAAGCATTCTCCGACCACTTTTCATACCCCCTCTTGCCGCGCTGTGATCACTACAGGCTATTCCCCTTGTTCAACCCCCAGTGAACAGACAAATGTTAGAAAATGGTGTGAGAAACTCGAATGCTGTATTTACTATTCATTCATTATCCACCGGATTAGGGGGGAAACGTTTAAAATCGATTACGGATTATTTGGGCACCGCATACCGCGTGTGCATGTTATGATCAGGTTGATGAACCGACGTAAATAGAGAGGAACGTTGATCTCGCTTGTCATGAAAAAAATGAGAGAAAATCCAAATATATCTTTTCAAATATAGAAAAAATAAATTCTATTGGATGATTAACGATCCATTTAAAAATTAAATCAATAATTTTTGTCATACCTATTTATTAAAATCTAAAAACCTAAAAATCACGATTAATATTTCAGAAATATCGTTTTGAAATTTTTTGCAAATGTGATTCTCGTTATAATGAGATAATTTATACGACGCGAAACATTTGATAACATTGAATATTAAAAATTTATTGAAATTCTTCGATAACATGCTTTATTATTTAAACTACATGCCATGCAACGCAATACTTGATACGAATATCATATAATATATAATAACTTACATATTCGTATATCACTCTTAGTCAACTTATTATTTTTAAATTTATTATTGTAATATGAAAACAACACGTAAAACAAACCGTACAACGGTAAATCAATTGTAACATGAAGAAGGTGTAACTAAATATCGAGCATTTTGAATATTTTGTGAAAAATATGAATATACATAAATCAATGTAGGAATATAAACAAAATATAACAAGTGAGAAATTGAAAATCAATAACTTGCTACATGAATTAACAAAATACAAACTTTCATCAAAGTTTATCAAAATTTTCATTTCGAATATATTAAAGTTTTCAACCACCTTAATTCTATATCTATCATTTAGCCCGGGCAATCAATAATCTTTGCACACATTCGTAAATAATTTTGAATTGAACTGTGTTAGCGAAATAAAATATTTCTTTAAAATATTTAAAAGTATGAAAAAATATTTGATTTTAAGAAAATATATTTTTAACATTTATTTTAAGTATAAAATATTAGATATTTAAGATATTTAATTAATGATTGAAATATTTCTAAGTCATGATTTTCGAAATTATTTTTTGCTTTATTCTATAAAATAAAGAATATTTTTTCATACGATACAAGCTTATACGAATTCATATTTTTCACATTGAATGATTAAATTAAAATGAGAACGATTTTGAAACATTTTTAGAAAAATAATAATATCATGCAATATATTATTAAAAAAGTAAAAAAAATCATATATATTATTTACATCTCCAAAAAAAATTATAATAATTTTCTTCCTTCCACTAAACGAAAAATACAATTACGTTATCAAATTGCAAATAAGTATCAATAACTTGCTTTATTCTCAATTAATAATCATTCAAATTTATTAATCCAAAATTTATCTTATTTATAGGTGCACTAAAACTAAATATAAATATAGCAAACATTTGATTCCCTTACCCTTTCTGTTACAAACTATGTATCAGTTTCCCGGAAATGGCTACTCTACTACCCTCCATCGGCATTGCGATGAACTTAACAGCCGGCCACCACGCTCAGCCGATTTTTACCAAACTTTCATCGCCCTTTGAAACGCAAACACAAGCCTGAAAACCTATTAAAACAGGGTAGAAAGGGCAAAAATGGATTCGTATGTCCCGAAATGTTGCAATATTTCTGAAGGGAAAAGTCGAGCCAGCCGTTATCCAAACAGTGGCCAGCTTTTTCCATCCACCCGAGAAAAAACTTTCCCGCCTGCAATTGAAAACCGTCCCATTTGAATGTCGAACTTTCGAATGAACATTTTCATAAATATGTATCGTGAGTTGATGCTTTCTCGCCTTTTTTTTTTCACGAATGTGAAGCCACGGATAAAGGGAATAACATTTTTTTCCCACCCCATCTTTTCGTTTTCAACCGTTTTTTTTATCGCCACCCTAAAAATAGAGAGAACGACATGAAGATATAAATAAATTCTTCAAGTTTGATTATCGAATCAATTATGTTGCATGTGTACTTATACGTAATTGTAAAAATGTATGCTAGAAATCATTTCGTATTATGCTATTAAGAAGAACTTTTAACAAAAATATTTGTTAAAAATTATGTCACAGTATGATATCTATATTCGTGATCTGATTTATTATATATTTTTCTAAAACTTCTGATCAAGGTGATATGAAAATTACAACGAATTGCAATCTAAAATATATCGAAGAATTTCAATTCGTGAATGATTTTCTTTATTTCATACTAAGACAATAACGCATATCATTTAAGAAATCTTAAACTCGAAGACATCGATTTAAAAAAAAATTCCTTCGATTATAATTTGTCGAGGTGGGTACAAAGAATCTCATTGAATGAGACAGGAGGTGGCACGCTCGTCATAATTACGACGAGATTGCTAAAAGCCCAGAAAAGTCGACAATGGGCTGCTCGAGAAGGAAGTTTATTGCTTCCGCAATAAGTTTTCTAGGACGTACCTTAAGAAAGGGGTTAAGTTCAAAATACACACTGGCTAAGCGATGTGGGGTACTGAGAATTTTAAGATATCTCATTGTGATAATACAACAGATGCTAGATTTTTCATAATTCGTTTTCACTTCGATATAGAAAATTATCAATAGAAGATGGCTAGAAAGAAACATTAGAGGAAGAATTTAATTTTTTTTGATGATTTTAAGAAACTTTTACATTCCGTAATTTAATTGTAGAAATTACTTTGTAATTGTAAAACTAGACTCAGTGATTAAGAAATTATTTATTAAGAATGTTCATATTTATGCAAGTAGCATTTCTTTTTAAAATTAAAAATATTTGCTTTCTTCCGTTGTTCATACGGAGAACAAATACAAATAAGAGAGGGAAGATAGGAAACGATGAAGAGACAAAAATACAATATTTAAATAAAAAAAAGCATTTTATGTCACGTTTCGAGAGAACGAGAGAATGATAAAAATAGCTGAAACAAACGAATTTTTTAAAGAAAGCTTTAAGAAAGAGAAAAACGGTGTGATGAGAGCTGCTCGTTTCAACTCCTTAGCCTCGAATGTCATCTCCTTTTTATCTCAGTCACTGTGACTATTCGTGTCACTGTCACGAGGTAAAAGACCACTTTTAACGAATTATTTAACGAATTATTCTGTTACAATTGGAAAAATATTAACACTTGTGCAAAATTTATACGTTTGTTAAACTTTCTATATTCAAAAACTTCGATAAAACGAATTTTCGTAAGTTGAAGCTCTTCTTATGATTCAATTTATCAAAGCTTGATTATATATTATAATTATAATATTATAAAATTCCACATTTCATTTTCATATACGACAAATCAAAATACGACACTACACTCAAAAGTTACTTATGATTGAAATATACGATGATAAAGTATACGTTTGTACGATTCAGTGAAGGGAAATATTTCAATATTTCAAAGATCTAAGGATACAATAGATTTTTCATGGCGTTTATCAAAGCAGTTTCTTGAACCAAGAAAGCAGTTAGATGGGATATCGGATTTGCTGACACGAAATCCTCGTTCTTGAATCTCGAACTCTAGGGATCGAGGAGATCCAGATTCGAGGTAAATATTGGAATCACGATGGATTTCTTGGATCGATCTATTGTTGAGTTTTTCGTTTAACGATTTTTATTCTTGAAAAACTATAACGGTTTTAGAACGGATTTACTCGGAATAATCTATCCTCCTCGTATCTTGGCCGATGTAACTGCGATGATAAATATAACAGTTACAATGTTCGAAAGATATTAATTTTTGTGAAACGGATTGGATACGGTTACTATATCAAAAGGGATATAAAGAAAAATTATTTATTATATCCACTTATAACTTTGTTTACAATGACTTTTTCATTGAATATTGGATTCGAAACGAAAAAATAAAAAGTTGAATATTTGCGAAAAAACAATATGATCAATATTTTATTTGATGAAATATTTCATTTTGCATTTTACAAAAAAATTATTAGACTAGAGATAGAATTGTACAAACGTATACGATATATATAAAACCATTTTATTTATTAATTTATTATTTATGTTAATTTAACATTAATCTCACAACATTATAATTTCTTGGAATCGATAATAAATATAAAAGAATTTATTTTCCGATTCAATTTTTTTATTTATCATTATTTATCAAGAATCAATATTCATACATACTTTTGTATTTTATGTACAATTTTGAACAACAAGATATAGCTGTGAGATTGATGTTTTATTCAATTAATTCTTAAGCAATAATCGTATAGCAAATAATGATATAGCATAAATGATACAGGATAAAAAGGAAAAAGGAAAATATTATACTTATCTTATTTTTTTATCTTGTTTTTACACTGAAACTTTTGATATTTTCAAATGTATACCGTCAACAGGTTGAAGAAGAAATAGTGGTTTCTTGTCTTTTTGATATATTTTACGAGTTTTCTCGCATACTTCAACTTTGAATTTTGATAAAACTGTGGCCAGTCCTACCTTTAATTGCTTTTTTGCCAATCTTATTCCTGAAAGATTTTATATTTTTATTAAAAAAAATAACTTTTCTATATTTTATATTTTCTATATATTCAATAAAAATAAGTATTTTTATAGAAAAGCATATCTTACCACTACAATGTCTTGGGCCATCTCCAAAAGGTAAATGAGCCATCGAATGTCTAGTTTTAATTTTGTCATTGGTGAATCTTTCAGGATCAAAATTATTAGGATTTGGATAAATATCCGGATCTCTTTGTATCGCATAGATTGGTAAAAAGACTTGTTGACCCCTTGGAATGGTAACTTTTGTTCCCGTAAATGTGTAAGTTTCCGTCGCTTCTCTCGACAACCATTGTAATACTGGATACATTCTCAATGTTTCTGAAAAATAAACAAACAATATTCATGTAAAATATGTTCGACTGCAAATTAATAATACTATTTTATTATTGGATATTATGATAAATATAAAATATAATTGGAAAAACTTCAATATATTAATGAATTTTAATAATTATTATGAATATAAAATTATTTGCAAAGATGTACATACATGAACAAAAGTTAACTTTAAAAATTAATTAACAATCAAATAATATATTTATAAATATATTTAATTAATGATGGAATAATGTTTTAGTAAAAATTGTAAATAATTATACCAAAAATACACGCTTCCAAATATTTCATTTCTTCCAAACCATCGTACGTGATTTTTCCGTCATATTTTTGTAAAATATTCACTACTTCCGCGCGAGCTTTCTCTTGAATCTCTGGCTTCCATGCCAGCTCGTACAAAGCATTGCTGATCGTTAATGAAGCATTTTCGAAACCAGCAAAGAAGAATTGAACAACCTGTGATGCCAAGAGTAAATTGTCCGCTTCTGCGAATATAAATATAATTATATATTCTGTAACATGTTCAAAATCCATCAGAATTTCTTTTTCATTCATCACCAAAAAAAAAAAAAAAAATTAATAATATACACATATCCTATATGTATTATTTTCCTGATTTAAGAAGATTCAAAGATTTAATTGAAACAAAAAAATCATAAAATTTTGTTATGTAGAAATTATTATACCTTTAAGACCACATTTCGTTGGATTTTTCCTAACATCTGCCAGAATATCAATGACATCTCGTAAATACACATTGTTCTGGATTCTATAATCTATGGCGTCTTTTGTGGCATTTACGAAGAAATTAGTGACCTCGTGATCAACGAAGAAGCGTCCAAAGATTCTAAATAGGAAGGGATATTCTCTCAATCTATCGTTGAGAAATTGTTGGAGGTTTGTAGCGAGAGCTTGTTTGCCCATCTTGTGAAATTGGCAATTCTTATCTGTAAGTGCATTCGTATGAATACTGAAGGCACAAGCACCGATCACGTCAGTGGTAAATTTTGCAGCAGCCTCACGACACTCGACCAGTCCTCCTTTTTCTACCATTTTTTCTAAATACTTCTCAAAATTATTAGAACATTCTACGAATAAATGGAACATTTCCTTCAGTTTTCCTGATGAAAAGAAAGATGAAAGTTTGAGTCTTAAGGGTCTCCATCTTTCTGCATCCAGTCGGAAAAGTTGCTCGGATAATGGTTCAACCTGGAAAATTATAAAAATTTCATTCGTCATCATCTATTTTTGATACGATGAAAACAGAAAAAATTTTCACACGGATTAAAAATATAAATTATAATAATTTTTAAATATTAAATTTCTTTTATAACTTTTTGGAAGAAATATGTTCATAAAAATAATATTATAATTAAATATAATAATTGAAAAGAAAAATATAATGATAGAAATATTGATTATTTTTTTCCACTTTTTATATATATTCTATATATGATAAAATATATTATATATAAGATATAAATTGATAAAATAAACAAAAAAAATTATTATAAAAATAAAAAATACTTTTACACAATGTTCTTACTGATACTATATTATGTAACTAACATTTAAATAATTTCGCAACTAATGAACATATTATATAGTCAAAATAAAAAAAAAAATCTCAATAATCACGTAGAGATTAATAGTTATGAAGATAATAATTAAACTTACTTTTAAAAAAATTATGAAATATAATACATTTCAAATACATAACAAAATTCCAAATATCATTCTGTACTTTCATCTTATTTTCATCTTTATTTCTTAAAATTTCTTTAACCATTTATCGAACATTCAATATAAAATTATTATTATTTTCTATATTCATTCATTTTAGAATCTTTAAAAAAATTCACTTCATAACTCATTCTAATTGAAATCACACATAAAATTTCTCACTTATCTATTTATTTCTGTGTATTTTATTCATTAATTTACAAAATAGAGTTATTTTATTTTACGATGTTTTATACGTACCTCTCGTATAGCACCATGAGTTCTTTGAGCGAACTTGTTAAAATCTTTAATAAGAACGTCTTTTATTAAATCTAAATCTCTTAAAATTAACAACGGTTCATGACCTCCATACACTCCGACCATTGGCTCATCCTTGAACTTTTTGTACGCCCTTTCGAAACAATCCATGGTCGATTCTTTTGCCAGGAGTACATCTTTGAAATTACCCAGAAACGGAAGAGGTTTTGGCCCTTTGACGCCACGTTTCCGCCAATAATCCATCCTCGACATAGAATAATAATACAGTAGGAAAAATACAGTGGCAATTAGGCCAACAGTCTCTATCATTAACCAAGACATTGTATTTTATTTGTTTATTCTTTAAATTTTCTGTATAAAGATCGAATATACATATACACAAACACGGAATATCTGCGAATAGAAAAAAAAATAAATGAATAATAAAGTCTTTTAATCAATTCTTCAATATTTTTTTAACGAAACGTTCGCTTCGACGATGTCATCAAGAATGCGAACTTACTAATGTGCGAGCTTAAATATAGGCGAGTGTCGAAGTTTATCGAAATATATGGTGATATCCCTGTTTAAAAACGATGTATTTATTTCAATTCGCTGTAAGCATTCTTAAGCAGTGCCAATAGCCACCATGTTTATTATTCTTTTATTATTTATACATGTAGACTCTAGATAATGTTTGGAGAATCTTATGAATAATATGTTAATCAGATTTTTGATTTCGAAAATTCAGATTCACACACACAAATTCCACAATCACGAAACGCGATCATTCATTTTGACTCTGACCTATCTCCACATTGAATTCCATGTCCACTGAATATCCATATTGAATAAACAAGCGTTTTCTTTGTATTATAATATTTTTAGCCTCAGAAACATATTTCCAATATCGAAACAGCGAGGCAACAAGTTGTTGCAAATATTTCGTCCCGATCGGAGAACCGATTCTTAATGGAACCATTTATATTCAACAAGAACCGGTGCTCGAGCTAAAGAACTTGAGCTGAAAGAAAAGATATACAGAGAATGTAGATACTCGAAGAATATGCGTTTGGGAATTGCTTAGATATAAACCTGTGCGATAGTTGACGAGATATTTACTTGAAGCTGTCCTTTGATAGTTCACCACGATGCAGGGTATATAGGAACTCGGTTACGATGGAGATTCTGATAGGCGGCTCTTGAATAATTTCATGTTTCTGCTTCCCTGACTCGCGACGAATTTCATATATTCGAGAATATTCGTTGAACTTTACTGAAATATTAAAGATTGTTTTTGATCGATAAGAGGGAAATGTATTAATAACGCGTAGCATCGAGTAAAATTGACGATCGTGATGTGTGAATTTTGAATGAGTTCGATGAACCGATTTGATTTTGTTAAAGGAGTGATAGATAGATTGCCAAATATTAAAAGTTAAACAATTATGATAATTTTTAATTAGATTTTGTATTATTTGTTATTATAAGAAGTGATAGCGAATATAAAATGCATGAAAAATAATTAGAATCGTGTTTTGATATGATATCATAATGCATTATGTTTTTCTGCATAATTTGATGTTATAATGATGTAAATATATTAAAGATGAACACAATCGACAAAAATATTCAACGATAATCCATAATTTATTAATGATTTTCTCGGCTATCGTCTTGCAACAAGCATCATCTAGTGGAAAGGTCGGTGAATAGGCAGAACCATGAATTATACCTATTGATCTCATAAGATCTCATAGATTGAGACGAAACACGATTTGACAATATAAAAATAAGTATTTGAAAATATTTTATTTATATTAATAATTTCAATAATTTAAATTATTGTAAAATCAATTAAATTATATTAAAATCAATTATTAAGTAAATAAAATCTGGTAAACATTTTATTGTTTAAAGAGAAGGTAGATATATTTATCTTGTCGCAAAGAATGTTAATATTACTGTTAATATTAAAATAAGTTTCGCTTTATTTGTAGATATCTATAATAATTAATATTTATGAAAAAAATTGAAATGCAAACATATCTTGCTTGGAAGAAATTTGAAATATCTCACTGATAATTAAATATCGAATTTCTTAATATTTACATAAAAGATACCAAGATGCATTCTTTTATCAGAAGAAATAAAATTGTAAGGATTATCTGGGCAATTAGTATAATTAATAAAAAATAAAGTATAAATTATTTTTCTATATATATATTTTAAAATAGAAATAAGCATTATGGAAATTTTTAAAATGAGCAAACTTATATTTAAAAAGATAAATAATAAAAATAAAAAAAGCTAAAAAAAAAAATTATATCAATAAATATTTCCGCTGTTTATTGATATAGATATAAGAGAAAAAAACTTTATTATTATTATTATTATTTATTATCATGTTTCTTCTTTTTTATATATTTCTTTTTATATTTCATTAGAAACATTGTGTATACGTTATTTTATTATTACTTTATTTTAGAATATATTTTATCGAAATGTTGCACAATGTATGTGATTTCATCATAAATAGTATTTGATATTTGAATATAATATTAAATGAGAGATTTAATAGAAAAGCACATACCATATCAAACAAGAACTAAAATTGAAAAAAATTAGATGATATTATATTAGATGATATTAAATTAGATGATAAAAAAATTAGATGATATTAAATTAATGAATAATTAAAATGATAATAATAATGATATTATTAAAAGTCGAAATTGATGTACATATATATCTTTTTTGGCATTTTTAAATATTAATTTTATTGGATAACAATTTGATCAAATGATAATTTATATACTACTTTTAATAATTTCTTTTATTTATAAGATATTAATTAAATTAATAATTATTATTAATTTAATTAATAAATAATAATTATTATTATATTCTAAAATAAATTTAAAATTTTTAATTTAGAACTATTAGTTTAACAAAGCATAAGTTATAAATTATTTAGTGCAATTTTATTTCATAATTCTATTTCCTTCGTATTCCTATCTATAATTATTCGATCAAAAAATTTCGAATTTTGAAACACATTAATTAATAAAATACAAAGATTATTGCGGAGTATAATTTTAAAACTAAATAACGTGAAAAATTAATTTCCTTGGATGGATATATTTAGCATTCTTCGATAAGATAGAAATAATTAACAAGAATAAATATTTTCATGGAATTAATGAAATATAAAACTCGTAAAATCAATTTGCCAAATTAATGATACAAATTCATACTTAATCTACCGTCAATTTACTTTCATAATTATGTCCACAAATCTCTTACCTAATCTCACTTAAAACTTAAAATTATATAAAATAAAATAATATTGATCGTTCGACATCATCATCTTCTATCCCATTCACAAACTCCTATCCTCAATTGCACAAAAATTCCCTCAATATGTAATCACAACAGATCGATATATTTAAGAGATAAATAAAAAAACGCGTATAAAAATTTTTGATCCAAAATCGAGTATCAAACACCCCTTTTGCCGTGCAATAAAGGGAAAAGAAAGAAGCAGCTCGCGCTCCCTTTTAATGACCAACTCTGCGTAACGTAAATCGATACGCTTCGCGACGCAGCATTCATTTAATTAGCCAGGTTCAACTGAGGAAATAAGAATGAAAGGGAAAAGGAATAAAAAAAAAAAGAAAGAAAAAGAAGAAAGAAGAAAAAAGGGTGGTAAGAGAGAAGAGCGAAGAGGTATAAAAGGAATAAAGGGTAAATAATCCGGTGGCGAGGAACGCGCTTCGTGTTGTTACGTCTTCCTTCTCCGTTGAAATGGAGCAGTTTAGAGCGGAAAAAGCGCGGTGGCGCGCGATGGTGGTTCGTTATGCCATCAAAGGGCGAATCGAGTTCCACTCAAGCACCGTTATTAAATGCAACATGCAAACGTGTTGTGCAACATTGATTTTCTCTAATTGCCCCTTGTTGTCCTGGCCCGCCATGGCTGACTTCCCACCGAGATCGTTATCGTAGATTGTCCTCTCCCGTTCCGGGGGGTTAATTAATATGCATTGTCATTTAATTCGTCCCCATTGTTGGTACGTGCGTAGAACGAAAAAACAAAAGGGGAAGGATGGAAAACGCAGGCGAAATTTCGTCAATGATTCGTCTAAGAGGAATCGCGGGCGAGGATTATGTATGGGGAATTTTCAATTTGTAAAATAAACAAAACAATATTTTCTTGATGTAAATGATTACTTGTTTTGTATAATAACTTTTTTCTGAATAATTATTATAAATACGAATTGTATCATTATAATATGGTATTATATATTAATTTTATTTATTTATTTTTTTATATGTTAATTTTAAATTTAAATCTATTAACATCGCTTTATGAATTTGTTATTTGTTTTTATTATTGTTATTATAAACAATAATATAAAATATATATAAAGACATTATACAATGAATTCAATCTAATATAATATTTAATTTAACAAATTAAAATGGATTTATAATAATATATACTTATTTATATATACTTACGATACAAATTGTTAATCAGTAGATATTATAATTATAATATTCATTTATTGTATTAACTTTCATCTGATTAATAAGATTATTTAAATACTATATATAAATATTATTATAATTATATATTGTATATTCGATAACACTGGCAAAATTTCGCGAATGCAAAAGGAACCACTTTATCTTTCAATGCAAATTCCCTATTTCGATAAAATACTGTTTCGTATAACAAGTGGAAAATATTTTACAGAATTTATTTCAACCAATTGCGCACACTTGTGATAAAGTATCATTTATTGCACGTAAACCATGCCACTTTGGCACAGATTATATCCGTTATCCCTGTAAATAATATTTTATCGAATCGTCTGCAATTGCACGAAATAAATAAGTTTTTAGTGCAGATAAAACGTATACGCTGGATGTTTAGGGAGTATATTGTATTTATCATGATATACACTAGACGTAAAGTATCATTTACCAACCAACTTATGCGATATTCGCTGCATTCATTTTAAACGCAACATTAAATTGATATTTAAACAATTTAACATTCCATCTTAATTCTAAACTGTGCATTTTATCAAAAATTAATGAGCTTATATTTTTTAGATTGATAGATATAGATTATAATGGATATTTGAATGATACTTTTATAGCGTCATAAAATGGTATAAAAGATTTGAAATTTAAATAAGTCTAAAATATTAAACATACCAATAATTTTTTAAAAGATATTTCCAGCTTATAGGATATATTGTAAAGATATTAGATAGATATGAAATTTCGTTTTTAGAAAATTGTTACCATTGTGCTAAAATATTTCTTTTTCT